TGTGGACACAGTTCCACTATTCCTTCCTTATGCCACGATATAGTGTTATTAGCATGAGCAGTTATAAATCCATTGCCATCCTTACTCTAACTTAAATTTTTTTTACATTTAAATTTATTATTAATTTCAGTAAAAATTTACAGAGGCTTTGGATTTCCATTCATTCATTGTTGCACATTTCTCCCCTCCCAAGCCTCTCCCCAGAACACTACCCTCTTGGAAAAGTAAAAGAAAAATTCTTTCATTGTTTTACAAACCCTCCACCAGGTCCACTCCACCATGTAGCCATCGCTCTAGACTCCTGTCATGACAGAAATGCTTAATCACATATATCTTTTAAACAGTTTTCTCCATCCTCTGTTTCAGTGCAGTATACATTATTGAACCTATTTTACTCAGATAGGTTCCCCAACCCCAAGGTCAGTCTTCTTTTACAACAGTGGCACCATGCAATATTTGTCCTTTTGTGACTGGGATATTTCACTCAGCATAATGTTTTCCAGAGTCAACCATTTTGAATAATATTGCATGAGTTCCTTGGTTTTCAATGCAGCATAGTATTCCATTGTGTGAATATACCACAGCTTCTCTATCCATTCATTTGTTGATGGGCATTCTTCATTCTTGATATCCTCCCACAGCTCATCTGGTCTTTGCTCACTAGTGTTCAAGGCCTCAAAACTATTCCTGAGATGGTTTTGAAATTCAGGTAGGCTAGACTCAAGGTCGGACATGTTGTAAGGAGAGACAGGTCCTTGGAGAGGGACATCATGCTTGGGAGGATAGAGGGACAGCACAGGAGGGGAAGACCCTCTGTGAGGTGGATTGATTCATTGACTGGGGTAATCGGGATGGATGTGTCAGAGGCAATGCGATTGGCACAGGATAGAGCAGGGTTTAGGGCTGTTGTACATAGGGTCGCTATGAGTCGCAAACAACTCGATGGCACATAAGAACAACAACAACAGACTCAAGGTCAAATTTTGGTTCTTGTGGATTTGATTTAACCCTCTTTAGCTTTTGTTTGAACTTTCGTGTGGGTGGTTGATGGTCTGCTTCGCAGTCAGCACCTGGCCAAGAAAATGACACTTGTATACCAGATCTAAAGGACTTATCACCGTCTCCTGGGAAATTATCCTTCTGTGTCAGTAGCATGCTGCAAATGGAAGAGAAGAGGCCCTAAGTCACAAGAAGTTAGTCCTAGAAAAGAACATTTCCTTAGAACTGTCCAAGATAGAAACCCTTCCCTAAAACTAGTACCTGCAATTTGGACTTAGAGGCTCATAAACTCAAGAGAGACTGGCAGCAGTGCAAGACATTAGGCATCACAGAAGCACAGAAGGCTTAAGGGAGGTGTTGAATGGCATAGGTGGGAGTGGAAGGGGATTTTGGTAGTTACATCATTAAGTCCCACTAACTCACAGTTTAATATCACACATCTTAACACTCAGATTTTTAACAGTGCACAGCACATAACAAAGTTATTAGGATATCTAGAGTACCACCACCTGAGATGTTCCAGAATGCACACCATTCTGACTGGGAAAGTAATGAGAGAGTATTTTTTTTTTAAGAAACAATTACACACAAAGGAAATACACTCTGATTAAAATGTTCAAGTCATAAATGCATGACCATCACTCCAAATTGTCATTACGTATATTATGAAATATAAAACTGTCTCCCTCTCCCATGGACGGTTGCATTAACATTCAAGACAGTCAAAGCCTTCCCCAGTTTTAACAGCCCACTATTTTCTGGTTGTACCAGAAAATAACCACTAAGTGATTTTTTCTTCTTTAAAGATGTTTCTAGAACTACTAAAAAACCTTGCATTTACAAAATAATTTTATAAAAACATCCCTCTGGATTGTATAAGAAGGGAGAGAACAGAGACCAATAAGACATTAAACAGAAATGGCTTATTTCTCTCCTGCTTCATCAGCCATTGACCTCTCCTCATTTTTGGTTTCTCCATTTTCTGCAGGTATATTTTTAATTTCCCGGTTAACCACTTCAGTCCTCTCTCCTTTTCTCTTTCATTTGCACTTTTTTTAAAAAATCTGAAGATGTATCTTTTCCTGATGCCATTTTTTATTCATTTCCACTTTGCAGGAGGTTTAGCTGATGACCTTCCATCATTTGGGCTACTCCTCCACTGCCCCTTTTGCCAAACTGACCATTCTCTTGGGCATCTTGACGGTGGAAAGGGCATTTGCTCTAGGTGCCTGCAGGCCTATGTGAGGTGACAGTCATTTGAAGCTACACTGACTGGCTACTGTACTGCCAATCACCCCTCACCCAAAGCTACTGACACCCATGGCAGAGGTGGTGGGAAACTCTAGATTACACTTTGCATTGCGAATTTTAACATCAAGCCCCTAGATTATCACTCTTGTTCTGCCAATCTCCACTCACCGACATCAGGTGTTGTTATGGATGGAAAGAAATGAAGAAGACTAAGGTTAAATTGCTTTATGCAGATGATGCCACACTTCAAAAGAGTCTATCAAAGGAAGATCAGAGTGATAGTTGCTTATTAGTTGTGTGCTGTAGCTCACATACAGTTTAAACTGTAAGACTTGTTGCCTCCCATACATTGGTCGCTATAATTTTGGGAGTTTTTAGAGAAGAAAAATCCTGATCCCTAGTGAAGTATACTAGCTTGTTTCTGTGTCCCATGGCTCTGTTCTCTTTACCATTTCATGATTGACCCTCTATTTCCTTTAATTTCAGGTCCATAGCAAAGGACTGAAGCTTGGAATCTATGCAGATGTAGGAAATAAAACCTGCGCTGGCTACCCTGGGAGTTTTGGATACTATGACATTGATGCTAAGACCTTTGCTGACTGGGAAGTAGATCTGCTGAAATTTGATGGTTGTTACTGTGACAGTTTGAAACATCTGGCAGATGGTATGTTTCATTGAAGACATTTAGCCATGAGTAAAAAGAATTTTGTTGAAGTAGTTGAGTATCCAAGAACTAATCTTCAGATTTTAAATACCTACTTAGAATACTAGAAGTACTCTCAATGTGATAGCACTTCTCACCTTTTCTTTTTTGTGTCCGTTTTGTCCATTCATTTATTCATGTAAAGTCCATGTACACCTAACTGTCTAATATTGTGCACTTTTTGAAGCTCCATCTCGTATATTTTGAGCATGTGGCTAGGAGTGACTGGTCCTTGGAGAAGGACATTATGCTTGGAAGGGTGGAGGGACACTACAGAAGAGGTAGATCCCGGATGAGATGGGTTGATACAGTGCCTAGGGCAGTGGAAGTTGGTGTGTTGGAATTAGTGAGACCTGCTCAGGATAGGGCAGGCTTCAGAGCTGTTGTACATAGGATCATCATAAATTGCCAAGAAACATGACAGCACATAACAATAAAAAGTCAATTAAGGAGTCTACAGGTGGCACAAGTGGTTAAGCACTTGGCTACTAACTAAAAGGTTGACAGTTTGAATCTCAGTAATCTGGAACATATTATACACCATTTAACCATAGCATATCTATACTACCCACCTATGCTGCCAGTTTGACTTTCTGGACAGCATTTTTTTTAAAAGTACACTGCTCTAGCTGGAAATGCCCTTCTTTCACTCATTATTTTCTTGTACAGGTTATAAGTACATGTCCTTGGCCCTGAACAGGACTGGAAGAAGCATTGTGTACTCCTGTGAGTGGCCCCTTTATGCATGGCCCCTTCAGAAGGTGAGCTAATGAGTCCAGGATCCAACAGGGCCTTTCTGATAGACATTTTCAGAACTTGAGCACCTATCACAAACAGGTCTTAAAAATGTTACTTATCATTCTGCCATCTCCCAAGAATCCAATCCATTCTTGCCATCCCCACTATCATAACTATAGTCCATAGTCCAGACCACCATCACCTGGGAATTCACCCTTGATTCTTCCCTTAATTTCACCATTCACCTTTTATCCACCAGCAGTATAATCATTACTTTTGTTTTTGCATACTGTTGAGTCAGAATTGACCCAAAGCTGACCCTCCAGTGGGTTTTCAGAGGCAACAGATCACACAGGCGACAACCCATCTTTCTCCTGCAGAGTAACTGGTTGATTAAAACCACATGCCTTTGGGTTGGCAGTACAGCTCTTTACCACTACACCATTGTACCCCAAACTATATCCTTAATAATCAGTTCTTTTGATCTCCACTACTACCACTTCACTCTTTTCTCTATCTATCCAAGAAGGCAACACTATGATAGATGACTATTTTTGTTTTCTTTTTGTTGAGATATCAAGGATAGCCATAGTTTGTTATGATCTACACAGTCAAATCCCTTTTAATCGTCTTGTCAGTGATTTAATCTTGCTTGGGTCTACAGTCAACACCCTTGGTACCAGCAGTCAGATCAAGACATATAGCACTGGGACAGTCTGCAGCAATGATGTCAGTTTAAAGACTAAGGTGCCTTTGATTCAAGCCCCAGTCTTTCCATTCACCTGCTATGTATCTGAGCACTGGATAGTGAATAAGGATAATAGGAGAATCCATGCATTTGAGTTGTGATGTTGGAGAACAGTGCTGAATATTCCATGAACTGCCAAAACAACAGATGTTTTTGAGAAAGTGCAACCAGAATTTTTCTTGGAGGCAAGGATGGTGAAGCTTTGCCTCACATATTTTGGACATGTTGTTAGGACAGGTTATTCCTTGGAAAGTGACATCATGCTTGGCAAGTGGAGAGGAAGATCCTCAATGAAATGAATTGATAGCGTTTGCACTGAGTCGTCATATTTGACTCAACAGCATTTAACACCTACCACGTTTGTCATACAAGAAACTGTCATCTCTCACTCACTCTGCCTTAACATATCTACTTCTTTTCTCTGCCCCTATCTCCCAAGTCTATATTTCACACTGTACCAGAGTGATCTTACTAAAATATAAATGGAATCAAATCATTACCCTGCTTAAAACACAGCTAGCTTCCCAGTGCATTTGTTGGGTTTTTTAAATATCTTTGTGATTTTAACAAGTTTACAGAAGAGTTGGATTTTCTTTCATTCACTGTTGCATATTTTAGTCCCCATCAACCCCAGTTCACTTTTTAAAAAATACTGCATAATTTCTTCCCCCAGTTCACTTTGCCATACACCTTTTACTCTGGAGTGCTGTCAAATAATGCCTAATTATATATTATTTTTAAACAGTTCTTTCCTTCATCTATTCCAATGCAGTACTCATTATTTATCCCCTCTTTTCCTAGTTTCCATGACACCCCCCCCCATATCAGTCATGTTTTCTAACAGTGGTATTATACAGTATTTGCTTTCCCAATGTATTTGGAAAATCAAATACCATACCAAGGCCCTCTTGGTCCAATTTGATCTGGCCCATGCTCCCCTCATTTTCCAGCACTTTCACTTTACTTTGGGTCCCTGAAACACTCCAAGCCTCTAGGGATTTGAACTTGCTATTTGTACTATCTTAGGGAGTATCTGGCAGTTTGAATCTACTAGTGGCTCCTGGGGAGAAAGATGAGCAGTCTACTTCTGTGTGATTTACAGCCTCAGAAACCCAACTGAAGGATCAGCTAGGAGTTGGTTCCGACCCATTCATTACCACATTGCCCATTTTAAAGGCTTAGTATGTATTGTTGTATATTGTAATATAGAAGTATTGTTGAAAATGTTTCTCTAGAATATTTTAAGTTCTATGAAAAGACTGACTTATCACTCTAGCTCTATACTACTATATGGTAACTGCAAAAGTGTCTCATTGCTTTCTCAATATATGAAACTTTACATACAATATTTTACTTGGTCCATTAACAAAAGTTATATGCCCAAGATTCAGATGGTTTCATTGGCTTGATGATGACTGTTAGTGAATCTTGCGGTTTTTAATAAGATCATTGTAGGATTTGGTTTTTTGGCTCCCCCCCCCCTTTAGTTATTTACTTCTGATGAGAAAAGTAACACATGTATTTTTAATTTGAATACACAGGTAGGAAATTTAAAACTTCATTACCCTTACACCTTTTTGATGTTTCCAGCGTGAGCTGTTTTAAAACATTTTATATTATAATCACCTTTTTCTTATAATGAAGTAGCAGTGTAATGGGAATTTAGATGGAGATCTGTTAAGTAGATAAATTCAACTTGGCAGTTTTAATCTTACGATGTTAGTAGAAAGTAAACAGAAAACCTGTTTTCATAGCCCAATTACACAGAAATTCAAGAGTACTGCAATCACTGGAGAAGTTTTGGTGATGTCCTTGATTCCTGGCAAAGTATAAAGGCCATTTTGGACTGGTCATCATCTAACCAAGGCACAATTGTTAATGTTGCTGGTCCAGGAGGTTGGAACGACCCAGATATGGTAAGAACCTTGTCTTCTTTGTTCCAATCTGCAAGTGTGCTTATAGCAGGGGGCTGTTTTATCTTACTTGGATTTTTTTCCCTCCAGTTAGTAATTGGTAACTTTGGCCTCAGCTGGGATCAGCAAGTAACTCAGATGGCCCTCTGGGCTATCATGGCAGCGCCCTTACTTATGTCTAATGATCTCCGGCACATCAACCCTCAAGCCAGAGCTCTACTTCAGAATAAAGATGTAATTGCCATCAACCAGGACCCCTTGGGCAAACAGGGCTACTTGCTTAGAAAGGTATTTATCAATGCTCTATGGGAGAAATAGTAATTGACTAGATGAACCTTTCTTCTGATTTCTCTAGTTTATTGAACATACAACTCATCTAAATATATTTTAATTCCTTTATATCTTACTACCAAGGTTTTTGTCTAGAGCCTGATTCTAGTTATATGGGGAAATACTTTTGCCAAGTATTTGCATTTCCCCCTTGATTTTAGCCCAGTCGATTTTTCAAGGTGCTTCTGCCTGGGTTTGAACCTTTTGCTAGTGATTGGGTGCTCTTTGCACCACACTGAGTCAGAACCAACTCGGGTTGGACTTCTGAAGCTGTAAATCACATAGGAGATGCTCCATCTTCATCCCACAGAGCTGCTGGTGGATTAAAATTGCCAGAGAAATGGCTTTTTAGGTGTGTAACCCCTTATGGACAAGAACTTCCAATGTCAAAATACACTATAGGCACGGTTCAAATCCACAAGATGCTCTGCCGGGGAAGGAGGGGCAATCTCCTCCTGTACCAGTCAGATCTGATTTGACGGTACACTCACACAAAAATAAAAATTTTAAAAATACACTATAGGGTAATTTTTTCTCTATAAACACATGACCGAATGCACTAGAAATAATGAGGCAGGCAGCCTGGTAATAGTAGTTATCAAACACTTGCATTTTTCATTTTCAGGAAGACAACTTTGAGGTATGGGAACGACCTCTCTCAAGCTTATCGTGGGCTGTGGCTGTAAGAAATGTGCAAGAGATAGGTGGTCCTCGTTTTCATATGATTTCCCTTTTTACTCTGGGTAAAGCAGTGGCCTGTAATCCTGCCTGCTTCATCACACAGCTCCTCCCTGTGAAAAAAGAGCTTGGATTCTTTCAATGGAGTTCTATCTTGAAAATTAAAGTAAATCCCACAGGTACTATTTTACTTCAGATAAACACACCAAACTGAAGCTTAACTGCAATGCTAAATAAAACTCTTCAAAATGTCGTTTCTTCATTCTTGAATAAAATCTAAGGTTCAACTTAAAAAACTGTTTAAGGTTGTCGGTTTGGTCTTTATGATGTGTAGGTTTGGTTTGTTAACACGTTGCCACAAGTGACAGCAAACGTGTTTCTAAACATGGTCAATTTTTAAAAAGTGTGCGGCAACGTGTTAACTATATGGACTATTTTGATACTTCCAAACTTGAGGTAGAGCCAGAATTTCAACCCAAACTGCTACATACTGAGATATGTAAGTGTTACCACCTTTAGACCACCATCAGGTTGGAAACAACTCAGAGGCAATAAATCTTAGGAGGATACTCCTTACCTACTAAGCAACTAGAGCTTCCCAAATGGGAAGATGAATGACAAATTATCTGGGCAGAAATAACCTTGATAAATGGTACCTTCTGATCTGAAACTAAAGACAATGTAAGCATGTTGCATGCCAGTTGGAACTGACCCATAGTGGGAGATAGGAAGTAATCCTCTCTGAAATGAAAGCAGACACAACCAAAATTTGGAAGCAGCTTGTTCATACAGCCTGCCACTCCTTTCCAAAACCTCTCAAGGACTCTACAACCTAGATCCCCAAATCCTGTTTTGAAGAACAGTTTACAGGATGGCTTTCACCATAGTTAACCAGGGTCCTCAAACATGTTCCATTAACACCTTTTAAAATCACCCTTCTCCCATATAAGCACAGAATGGCAACCTGAACTAAATAATGAATCACTTACATGACCATGTTATAATTAACAGTTACACCCCCATTAATATTATCCCTTATGAAAGAAAATAGTTTATGGTGAAATAATTTGTCATTGAATACTATGGTTGGGAAATTGTGATGATAGATGTTCCACTTACATTCACTATAGACTTAATGTCAAATCTATGCCTCTCATCTCTCATAACCAAACTGGCCATGTAATAGCTACAAGTCTCAATGATTAAAAGGGACATTTTATTTCCCTCCCAAATGAAGTAAACAGGAAAATCTCAGTTTATTGTGTCTGGATAAAGTAAGATGAAGCTTAGAACTGGATCACTTGACCCTGTAATAAAACAAAAGAAAAGGTGAATTTTGCTTTCATAAAGAACCATGGCCATATTTAAAAAAAAAACAAAACCATTTGCGTCAAGTCTCAGTCTAAGCCAAAACTAGTACCAAAAAGCTTGTATATACCTTTCGTTTTTTATCTCCTCCCAGTTCAAAGTGCTTACATCTTTTGATAGCCAACATTCTTTTAGATCTGCAGTTTGGCTCAACACATTCGAGTCTTAACACAATCTTCTTTGTAGTTTTAGCCT